CCGACACGTCAACCAGCTTCACGCTCATCTACCGCCCGCCGTGTATATACTACTCTTTTGGAGTATCCAAGACCATCTGTGAATTGTTGTTACTGGTAATATGTTGTTTTTGTAGCTAGCTATTTCGTGTAATTGAATATAAACAAAATGATCACCCAAGAAAACAAGGATATAAAGAAAATGGTGCATAATTTGTAAAGAATTTACATATATTCATCAAAAAGGTTTTAAACATATGTAGTATATAGCGATGATTTATATAAATTATTACTCTCTTCGTTTCAAAATTCAATTTAGTTACCTTATTTTTAGAATACAAAAATTCAACTGAAGCTAACCTATCATTTCGAAACGGAAATATTTTCAAATTCAAAATGTGGAATTAGTGATAATTACAAGATATTCAATTTATCTAATTGTTTTTTCTAAAAATGAAAAATCAACCTCTAAAACTACTACCTTACTTATCGATAGTAATTTAGGGTGGAATGGATGTTGCTGTGGATACAAATAATAAATTCTTAACTAAATTTATTACTTTTTTTCTATTAGAGTTAATTTTGTGGTCTCTAAATGAAAACATAAAAAGGATGCCTATCTGTTTTTCTACTTTTGGAAGTCAATCATTTTATTTTATTTTTTTATCTTGTTTTCAATATATTCGCATCTCCTTCTCCTACTAGAACAGCAGCGCACGGCAAGTGTGAGAATGGCTTGTGTAGGGCCAAGCCAACACAAGGGGGAAGTCATTGTAGTAGTAGTCATTGTAGTAGTAAAAGAAATGACATATGAATAGTGGATTTTGCCTTTAACAAAATCAAAGAAAAAGAGGGGAATGGATTAAATATGTAATTTTAATTTTTTACGGATGCTGGGAGAGGAGAGGCTATAAATGACACTTTATTAATTTCTAAAATAAAAGAAATAAATAAATGAGAGGTCACATCGGAAAAGTAAAGTATGAATAATGGAAATGCGGAAATAGCAACATATGGCTGCATGTAATGTAAACCCCCGCATCCATGATGCATATTTATAATTTATTCACAGCGACATCCCTCCACTCATTTCTTCGGAGCCCATGGTATTTGGAATTGGAATTTCTGATGAGAGAGTGGTTTTATTATTGTTAGTGTTCCTTCTAGACGACGACAACTTTGTGGGGTTTTACGTGTTTTTTTTTATTGGCTTGGTGTGCTGTTGGCTTTAGTGGCTTCCTTCGCTTCATTTGTCATCCCATTCACATACGTGAACACTTTTCAGACTTCGTTCGTTCCCACCTAATTTATTATACTCCGCACTATTTAAGATGTTTTCTAATTTTTACCACGCCGTGAACTACTACGTAAATACAGATAAAATCACGTTTACTGTAAAAACCTACGTCACAAACTAGGAAGATAACTTCTTTTAAGATTGAACTTCTAAATGACCCTTTTGATGAATTTTCTTGAGCTTCTCAATATTTTCCGAAAGCAAAATTTAAAATAACACAAAATAAAAAGTGTTGTTTATATATTTTGACCTCACTGGAACACTTCAATGTTAAAAGAACTAGCATATTTAATTTTATCCAATTAATTTATCTTTTTTCCTTTTCCCTCAAGGTAGTACACAGAGTTATGTAGTGACTATAAATTAACATGAGACGACAACCTTGGCCTAACTATATATGGGATATGGGTTTTGTTAAAGTTACCAATGTAATCACATCATATATAGCTGTAAACTTGTAATGGTTTAAAACTTATTGATTGTTAAAACCATATTAAAGCTTTCACTCTTCTTCTTTTTTCTTTTTTTTTTACTAGTGAATTACCACATTTAAAAAATAAATAAATAAATTGAATGACTACCCAGAGAATCAAACGCTCGACCTCCTAATAATAACTATCTCACGTCCTAATTCCCTAACTAACCCATCCAGCCCTTTCCCACCCCAGTGAATTACTACATATTATAATTGCTTATTCAGCTCATATTGTCCGAATATGTAAATCAATTTTATAAATAACTGGCGGGTGGAACACAGATTTTCTCATATGAGAATTTGAGGTAAAAAATAATTGTTCAAGTATAAGGAGTACTATATATCTAAGTCGTACTAGTTGACTCCCTAACAAAAATCAGAATCTTATCAATCTTTTATTTATCTCTCTCCCGTATTCTCCATGTACACACAAATGTCCTTATAAACCTTAATAATAATTTTTGTCCCCAAAAACCCAATATTTCGAAAAGGTTTTACTTTAAAAAACAAAAGCCGCCACCGCAATATTAAAAAAAAAATCTAGTTGGACAAAAAATAGAATTTAGAGAAGGAGGATCTTGTCCATGTATTTGGACGACCAAAGACGCGACCCTACCAAAAAGCGGCAGCCGCGCTTTCACTTCCAACGTCCTTCTCCCACATGGGCCCCCACCCTGCTGTCTAATGGCTGCTTTTCCGGAATCAATTTACCATAATCTGCAACTACAATTAAATAAATTGCTTAAGAAGCTACTAATTTTTTAAATTTAATTTTAGTCACAAGGGGAAGGAAAATAACTTGGGAAAATCGGACGGCCGTAAGACACGTGCGATGCTGCTGTACTCCGAGCTGTAGGATAACATACCCGGTCAACACCTCCCTACCCCACCGCACCTCCCTGCCACGGTCCCACTTCACGTATAAACAAACCAAGAACCACTCATCACTCCCTGGCGCGTGTACCTTCTCCACTTCAATTCCTTGATTTTACTTCCCATTAGATCCAATAAAAAGATCGAAGTAACTCTCGAAAATGATTGATGTGTTAATTTTCTTACTTTTGTTTGTTTGATTTAATGTTCCACACTCGTTCAATGTATTTCTCCATTATATAACCGCAAAAATTACTACCATTCGTAAACACCCTAAAGACACAACCTCACCCCTTTTAACAAAAAAAAAAACGTCACCCCTTGCCTAAGTGGATGGGATGGGATATGTTGGAATCTGCGGATCAAAGCAGTCAATGGGGAGGATATTTAGTACACTATGGTTTAATTATCCAATTAGGAGGCTTGGAATAGTTAGCTATAGCTTCTATGCCTGAATTAAATAAACACTAAAACAGTAGATATAGGAGTATTAAATAAGGGTGCTGGAACCCGGAAAATTGAGTAGTTTAATGGGATGGTCGGATGTCATGCTTGGTCAAACGGATAATACTCGGCGACACATTTTGCGGCAATATATGGTTACACCACCAAGCCATTAGTGTTGCTGTACTTTAGAGTGTGGAGTACCATCAACGCATGGATCCATCCAATCCAAGGTCAATTTTTTTTAAAAAAAAATTTTCATGGGAAATAACGCAACAATCGTTGTATTTCTTTCTTTCCCCAAAAAGAAACTGTTACCATTACACCACCGAGGAATAGGTTGTGATTTTGTAAAGCATATGAGAATGAGGTCTTGGTCAGGTGATGAGTATATATTTAAATGGATCTTTTAGAGGTTTAGAGATCTATTCCTATCGAGGATATGTAAGCTTGGTTTTTCCGACATTAAATGGAATCTACAATGGTGGGTTTTTTTTTAAGAAACAAAGGTTATAAAGCATTCATGTGATTATTTGTCAAATTACAATTATTAGTTTATTACTAGTACTAGTAATTAATTCATTAACAAAATGGCCTACTTTGATTATAATTTCAAAAATATTTCTCAACTCAATGTTAGATTTGTAGAGTTCTTTAATCGTATTTTTCAATTTCCAAAATACTGCTATGTTTTTAACAATAATACAATTATACTAATCAAAACTTCTAATTAACCTAAGTAATTCAAATCTACTTCTTTTATTAGTATGCGATGCATAATGTGGAAATGTTATCATGTAATTGTGACTGTGCTATGCTTTTTTCTTTCTTTTTTCCTTTTCTTTTTGAAATAGATTGTATAATGTTTATTACTTATGGATTGTATCATCTACAATGTTGATAGTTACCGATAAAATACAATACTACTGTTGAAAGGATTTACATTAGAAATCGAAAGAGTTATTTCGGTTAAAAGGGTAAGAATTTCATAAAGTGTTATCAAGGAAGGTTTTAAAGGATTGATCGACCTGCGGCAACTGCAAAGGTATCTGGCGGCCGAAATCTCTGCACTTCGACATCTGGTGATGGAATTGTTCTTTTTTGCCTTTCAGTTTGAAAGTTCTCATTCTCTCATTATTTATCGATGATTTCATTCCAAGTCATAAATTGCTACATTCCTCATGTATTTGACTTCTTAATATGTCAAAATTTGATGCTAGTTGAAAATGAAACCCAAAAAACTTGACTAATGCATTCTCACAATTTAAAGAAATAGCGCGACTTGGATAGAAACTCTTAACATGAGACTCGATTAAACAGGTAAAAATTTCACCAAAGGACAATTCTTGAATTCATTTTGAGTCATAATTGTTACATTTCTCAAGTGTTCGACTTCTCAATTTGAGAAAGATTGAGGGCAGGATGCAAAAGAAACCCTTACTGACGATTCTCCTTCTCAATATTTAAAGAAGTGATGTGACTCGCATAAAAACCTCAAAATGCGACGGTTCGCCTTCTCAAGTCGAAACTCGCTCGACTTTAGTTTTATTATATGTCTCATAACTATAATTTCTTTTTCTTTTTCCTGCTACAGTTCTTGTAACTAATGTGAACCCTAGTTAGATTAGTTATATTGCAGTTTTTAGTTATTTTCCGAATCTAAATACCCTCTTTCGAATTGAAGAACCAACTCTCAAAGATAATGTTTCTCGTCTGAAATATAAACCCGTGTGCAATAGAGATCGAGTCTTTTGCTATTGAAATAAAACCACAAAGTTAGCGGGATATCCACGTTCATGAGCTAGGCTTACTTTGGATTTCGGGACTAGACCCAACAGGTTCTGGAGCAGATGTCCGTTTTGTTGGCCGCGTCTCTGGTTAGAAATAATTGTACGAAAAAGAAAACAAAATAGAAAAAAAACAATTATATTACAAATGATACTACATAAAAAAGCATATTTAGAGCCCCAAATTATGCCACCTAATGAGGTGAAAAAGGTAGTTAGGATTAAAAGTCGCCCATTAATTTCACGGGGGTGCATGTCTTAATCAAGGATGACAAAACCGCAATAATGTTAGAAATTCAGTTAGGCCATTACGTTAAAAGAAATTCAAAGTAGTAAATGATCAAAACAAAAAGCTATTCTCTCAGCTGACTTGTTTTTCAAACCCTCATTATTGTTCGCCTCCTCCTCCTCTTTTAATCTTCTCATGTCTTTCAGTACACAACCTTTTTCCATCACATTAAACCCAAATAGAAATAAAATATATTAATATTTTTTTTCTTCTTTTGTTGGGTACAGAAAAAACACAAATGAAGTGAATGCTTTTGGTGGGTTGCTGGGCTCCCTCTCTTTCGCCCATCTTTTTTTTTTTTTTCTTTTTCTTGTTCAAAGATACAGCTACTGTTAATAAATCTTACTTCTTTTTGCATACGTCTCCATAAACTACGGCTCCTTTGAAAGCAAAAGAAAGGAAAAACTAGCACTCCGAAAAGGAGGCAGCCCCCACACGTGGCACTCTGTCCGTTAGCCTTCACACAGAAGAACAGAGAAACCCGCCTCCTTCCCATCAAACTAGTACTCCCCATGTCTGGGCTTTGCCTTCTTGTCCGTACGAACTGGACCACACGTGAATTTACTGTAACGCAATCCCCCACCGCCCACCATCGCCTTTTTTTAATTACTCCGGTCACCTTCTCCGGTAACCACACTTAAGGAAACCATTATTGAGTCGTAACAACAAATTTTGTACTTCTAATATACAACACAATCCAGAAATTGCTATGAAAGAAGGAAGCACATTTATATAGATCTCTAAAATGAAACAACAGCTCGAAATCGGATACATTTCTCTCTCTCTGTTGCAAAAATACAATTAAAAAAAAGGGGGGGAATTAGTCACTGTATTCACATAATCTGACGGTGGTTAACTGACAAAAGATCTCAACAGCGGCACTGGAAAGTTCTCAATTTTCTCTATCACCGTTCCCTATCTTCACCTACAACTTGAACCATTTTCCTTTTTCCTACAAAGATTTCCTCTTTTCCGATTAAAAAAAAAAAAAGGGAATAAAGGGGCATTTTCCAAAACTAAAATTGAATCCAACAAATCGGAGACCAAATATCCGATCATCGCCGCCGTCATTTGAAATTCAAGCGTTTTCCGATGGTGGGGGGAGGTTAAGATCGAGATCGAGGTTGAGCTCCCGCTTATTGACCTCCCTGTTAGCGTTGTTAAGCCTGAGATCGTTGCGGTTGAGGTCCAGGACGACAGAAGATGAATCAGACTCACTCTGGACACCATTAGCTCCGGCGCCGGCGACGCCGAGGAAATCGAGAGCCACCGCGACCCTCTGGGTATGGGGATAGAACAGATGGTGGGGTCCGTGTTCAGCTTTCACCACGGCGGTATGACGCGCCAGGGCGTCGTAGTACAATGCTGCCTGAGCCTGACTCATGGCGGCCGGCGGTTGCATAACTCCGGCAACACGGCCGGCGAGCTGAGAAACACGGAACTGATGTTGATGTTGGGCTTGGTTAGGGAAGGGGAACCTCATAGACACGGCGCCGCCGAGGCTGAGATCCAAGGGGGAAGGAGATGAGTCGGCGACCGCCACCGCCGGAGAGAAGGCATCACGGCTGGATGATTCAACGGTGCTGCTCTGGCTGGGGCTCCCATTATTAGTAAGGTTGTTGTAACAGTTAATGTTACAATTGTTGTTAACTTTATTCACAAAATTGGGATCTTTCACATTGATGCCGGCGGCGGCGGAGGAGAGTCTCAACATGTTCTGATGCAAATTGGGATTGGTACGATTGTCCTCCTCCATCGGAAAGTTGGTCTTGGCTTTGGCACCGCGGAAATCCCTGGCGGCGGCATCATAAGCACGGGCGGCCTCCTCCGCCGTATCAAATGTCCCAAGCCAGACCCGGCTCTTCTTGTTCGGATCCCGGATCTCAGCAGCATAACGACCCCACGGCCTCTTCCTGACCCCTCTAAAATGCACCTCCTTAGAAACGCCGTGTCCTTTAGCCACGCCGGTGGCCGCCGCCGCCGCCGCAGCAGTCGCCGCCTTATCTTTAGGGGCCATGTTAAGAATGAGAGATTCGTTGAAAGGGGGCTTTTTTTTCTTTTTCTTTCCTGTGGGTGTGTGAGTTTGGTCTGAAAGAAGGAGGTGAATTTTTTTTTTTTAGCCAAAATTAGGTTAAGGGTGGGGAGGATGGAACGGTGGTTCAGGGAAAAGGAAGGAGAGAAGTGCGTGGTTATATATAAGGCGGGGGGGATGGGCGTGAGAGGAAGGCCGTGGGGGTAGTGAGTCAAGGATGGATTTGACTGCGGGGCAAGGGATAGCCGCCCTGTGAGAAGCGCAAAAAAATACTATTAAGAAATAACAACATAAATGGTTGTATCAAATGGATTACGTGGCACGTGGTTTATGTTGGCGGCAATGTATGCATAATTTATTGTGGCTTTGGGGGATATACATACATACATATATACGTCTGACGTATGAAAACACTAGTTTTATTTCTTGTTATGTATACGATGTCGTAGGGGGCGGAGCGTATTCGTAAATCCTGCGTTTATTTGTGCGGTGAAATTCTTACTTTATTTACAGTTTACGGTTGTAATAATCTATACATATCGTTTTTATCGAAAAAAAAAACATATATAATCAAGGGCTATTTTTTTTTTATTAAATCAATTAATAAAAGCAAGTTCTTCTACAATTTTGAAGATGGTTTCTTATTGTCAAAGTCTTGCAGGGTTATTGTAATTTTTAGCTACTACATTGCATGATGAAAAGAATAAAAAATGGTATTATACTATTCAATTATTTTAACTACTAAATAGTAAGTTTGCAATAAAAATTTTAAAGATCTAAACATGTAATCAATTTTTTTGACAAATATAACAAGTAATAAATTATTTATATTCTTAAACCTTTGTTCAACGTCTTACTTGTTTTAGATAAATCGGAATCCTATTAGAAATAGAAAAAAATATTACTATAATAACCTGCAAAAAACAGTAAGAAAAAAATATTACTGTAATAACCTGCAAAAGAGAGTGAGAAGTAAACTCATTATAAGTAGACCTTCAAAAACATACTCGAGTGCAAAATAGATATTCATACGTGAATTTGGATAAGCAAACCCTTAAGAGATGTTCACGAGACGCTGTACATAATTATTTTTATTCTTCACATGAATTCAACCTTGACAACAAAAGATATATATATTTTATCTGTATATGACAATTTTTCATTAATTCATACATATTTAACTTCTATTGTATTTATATTATCCCGTTATCAAAGTAGTATCCAGTCATTCCAACTTGAAAGTCTATACGTATAGTAAAAGACTGGAGTATGCGCAATTTGTTCTCTTGAAAACGTTATTAGGGCTAGTTTATTCGCAGTCTCGCTTCATGGTGAACATCTCGTATAGTAACTGCCATTAACAACCGATATACTTTGGTGATTAATCTATCAACTTTATATTTACTTGAAAATGTAAAGTAATATATTTTTTGTATTTTGTACGTTGGCCATATTGAAAAGAATATTCTTGTCGGTCTCGTGATGAATATCACAAGGGCCGTTCATCACTCACCTAACCAGTGTTGTTGTCACGTATAAATTAGAAATATGAGGAAATAATATAAGATTGTTATCTCACGTCACTATAATATCGTTCCTAAACAGTTGTACTGACGTTGTTATACTATTTAGCGAAACACGATTTACTTCTGCAATAGGTACATTTTTTAGCGAAATATGTAATTTAAATTAAATAATACTACGAAACTCTACTGGTGTTGTGATGATTCAAAAATGTAAATCTTACAAAACCGGGCACAAGCATTAGTTTGAGGTGCATACTATGACCAAATGGAGTGGATGCATGCATCGGAACCTAGTGGTGAAGTGATGATGAGTGGAATAAGAGGTTGTGGATCGAACGTAAATCAAATAAGCGTGAGAATTACAAGAAGAAATATTAAATTTAATGAGCAAGTGACGGTTTTAGAAATTTCGTTATTTTACTACTTAGCCCTACGAACTAGTTTTCTTTAAGACATGGACATAATCGGGATACTAGGGCTAATGTGTATCAAAAAACCCTAAATATTATTTTAGGTTTTGCCACTGTATCTTATATTTCAAAGTGTAATTGAAGACCCTAAATATATTTTTTAATAATTGGGAGATTTTCTTTTAACAACCTCATAAAGTCTTTCCTAACTTAGAACCTGCTGTATAGTAACGGAAATGCCATAGATTCATATCTCAATATCCCACTTATAATGAATATTTATATATATATATATATATATATGTGGAAGTGGCTAGAGTCCCGTTACGGGACGGTTCCGTTTTAGAATAATAATCGTAGGATTAATTAAGCTAATTAACAACCGTATGATTAAAATGAGGGTGCATCATAAGTAAATATACCTAAACACACCTGATTAAGCTGAAAAATTAGAGAAAATGATCAATTTTGCCTAAAGCTTCAAGTGTCTTGCCAATTTGACCCAAAAGATTTTTGGAAAGCCAAATTCATCATCTAATTTTTAATTTCTGGCCAATTTCATCTAATTGACAAAAATTTCTTAAGATTTAACATCTCCGCTGACATTCTGTTACGTATAAAATGACGATTGTACCCAAAGTTTTGATCGCTTCGTTAATTTTACCCCATTAATTTTTTTAGTTGACCAATTTTGTCCTTTATGTTTGAATTTTTTTGCCAATTTCATCTAATTGGTCCAATTTCCGTTAAACTTGATGGATTTCAGTTAATTTTTAACAAAAATATCACTATAGTATCAAAAAATTATAAAAATAACCCCCAAAATATGTAAAATCAACAAAATAATCTCTTTTCATTATTTATTTAATTTTTTTCTATTTCATTTTATTTCTCTTTACTACTTTTAGAACCATCAAAATAGAATTATAAGATCTTTAAAATAATAATTATTTATTTTCAAACTCTATTTTTCATGTGCAAACATGTGAGTTGGGTTTAGGAGTAGTTTTATCATATTTTTAAAATTTTTAAATTTAAATTTTTTTTATTTTTTGTTATTTACGATTCTTTTTCTTGTACTTCCTAACTTGTATCTGTTGCTACTAGTATGCTAAATTTCATTAATTAATTTACCTTGTATTTCATATATTATAAAAAAAAAGTTTAAAAAATAAAAAAAATGAGGAAGAAAAAATCGAGTTGAAATAAGTTTGAAAATTAATAGTTAATCATTCTAAACAAAAATAACAAAATCTAAACACAAAAACAAAAAAGTTCTAAGACAAGTCTTTCCTCCTAGACTTCTTGTGATTCATAGGTAAGTTACGAAATATAAATTTTACTCGATATAGTCTAAAATGGTTATTTTGTTTGTGATAATAAAAATAACTTAAAAATTAGACAATCTTTTAAAATAGAAAAAAGTGCTAATTTATTTAGTCCACGACGATGAATTGTTGTAAATTTGGTTAACACAATTTTTATTCCTTTTTAGTAACTTTTATTGTTACGTTGCCAATGACTAAACTATATAAGCAATCATTGAATATTATGACCAAGATAAATTCGTATATTTTTAACAGTTTATTTTTTAAATATTTTTAAACCTCAAAATTGAAATACAAAAGTTAAATTTTTTCTTGAAATATAGTAATTATATTAGTGCCAATATATACAAGTCAGAGTGTACAAGAAGACAATTGTTAAAAAAAATAAATTAAAACAAATTAAAAATTTTCAAAAATTAGACACCATATGTAATGTATGATGCAATTTATTTTAAGTGATTATAAAAAATTTAATGCATTAAAAATTACTATACCCAACAAAATGACTTAGAAAATTTCGTCATTAACCCCAAAGATTCTATTAATTTTGAGAGATTTTGTTATCTAGCATCAATTTTTTTTGTTCACGATCTTCATTATTTAGTTATTTTCTTAAAAAAAAAGTATAATAAAAATGGGTATCTATCATCACCTCCAGCTGCCAACACCGCTATCACCACCTTTGGTCTTCTTAACGGTCATGTAGATGCATTAATTTTCCTTCTTCTGCATAGTACATCGATTTAAATGATAGTTCTTGAATTTAAAGTTAGTAATTAACTGAGTTTAGTGAAAGAAAAATCTCTTTAATAAGTGAAATAACATTACCCTCTAAATCAACACTCACGAAATGTAAAAGGATATTTTCTGGGTAAAGAATTTTGAAGAATGGAACGGTAAAAAGAAATTTTGATAACAACCGGCTAAAAAAGATAAGTGTATCTCCGCAATGATTTCTTTTTCGGCTGCCATGAAGAAGAAGTGGGCAAGGGACAAATAGTGCAGGTAGAGGGAGGACCATTACTTCTTTAAGAATGAAGAAGGAATAAAAATTGAAAAAATACGTAAAGTATTTTGTAATTTTTGTAGAATTGAAAAAAGTGGTGGCGACAGAAATGCGGATAATGATGGAGGAAGAATTGTGTAATGTTGGTGGAGGTAAATTTTTATGTTTGTCGTGATGGTTTGGAATTCTCACAGATTTAAGAAGTGGTGATGGTAATTTTTAAGAGAGAAGAGGAATGGGTCGGTGGTGGTGCGACGGCAAAAAACAAATAGAGGAAGGTGGAGGAAGAAAAGGAAGAGGCTTAGGGTGGGAGCACCAAAAAAAAAAAAAAGGCTTCAGGTGGGAGTAATGGATTAGATTATAAGATAAATTTTGTAATAAGGACGTTATAATAATTAAATGTTAAGATAAGCGTATGTTACTGAATAACAAAATATTAAAATTTTGTCAACAAAATTTTTTACCAATAAAAAACTGTAGAAAGTAACGGAATATCAGTGGAAATGTTAAATCTAACAAAATTCTCATTAACTGGATTAAATTGGCAAAAAAATTGAAATTTATATGATGAATTTGGTTTCCCTAAAATCTTTTGGGTCAAATTGGCTAGACATTTGAAGTTTTGGAAAAAAATTGACCATTTTCTCAATTAGTTTTGAAAATTATAGAATGTTATTAACCACGTGATTACATCTTATACCCTCAATTTTGATTGGTTGAAGATAAAACGGGACGGTTACCTAAAAATAGCCCACGGGACTCTAGATTTTCCCTATATGTGTGTGTGTGTGTGTGTGTATGTGCGTGTGTGTGTGTGTTTGTGTGTGTGTCGAAACTTAGCTACGAAAGGCCAATCTAAACTATATTTTCTAGTGTTGCAATGGGAGGCGTTGAAAAATATGCAACTCCAGAGTATATACAAAACCAAGTTTATTAAGGAATCTGTTGGTTCATTTCCCGGTCTTCTTATGTGAGTGACCTCTACTATTACGTGACGGTTCAATTTTTTTTCCTAATTCTACTCAGTATGTTACTTGAGCAGTGAGTTGGGCTTTCCTCGTTTAAAAGGTTGACGGCCTGTTGGCTATCCAATTGTAACTGGATCTAATAGAAGCTCAGGTCCCAAACGATCCTTAGTCCAAAAAGTGGGCCTAGAGTTCTGCTTCTGAAGAATGATAGTCACCAAATTTCGCGACAAAACTGGCAACCCATTTTCCTTCATCGTTTCATGATAAGCCCCCCCCCCCCCCCCCGGCATTCGCAATCGTCGGGTCACCTTGCACTCCATCAGTATTTAAACAGATCCACTTTTAGAGTGGCGGTTCCAGACGATTTCGCCAAGTTGACAACACTTTTAAGATTAGAAATAGTGGATTAGTAAACGCAACTTAATTTTACTTCATGCAGCTTGTGAAATAGATTAAAATGCCCCTAAAGTCTAAATTCTCTAAAATTCTTTTATACAATCAATGCATTTTTACAATTTTACACATATTATTTTAATGTACAGTAAAAAATTCACGTTATTAATGGTTTGCAATGGCGATGAACCAAAGAACATGCAAAGACAAAAGTGAGGTAATTTTGGGGTGAACTTTTGGTGTTATGAGTTTTATGGCGATTTTTTTTTTGGTTTTTATTTATTTATTTATTTTTCAAAATGTTCTCGACTATATTTTCTGAAATTGATATAATTAGTGACTAGTGATTTTTTTTTTCGCAAAATGGGAGATCGTTTTTTTCTTTTTGTATGATCATTTGACAAATTTTTTTGCAATTGGATTTTGCGATTGGAAGATTTTTCCAATCTGGAACACATTGAAAGTAAGAGGAAAATGAATATTTTTAAACGTAGCTTGATTTTTTTTTTTGCAGGTTAATTTTACTTAGTGCAATTTTATAGGGGTATTTTAATTTATTTAATAAGCTGTGCGAAGTACAATTTTATAGAGGTATTTTAATTTATTTAATAAGCTACGCGAAGTAAAATCACGCTGCATTTAGCAACACCTTTAGAAATATTAGATGTTGTCCAAGCAGGCTTATGTTAGCCTTTCTGTATGCCCAACCCCTGTTACGATTAGAAAGAGTTTTGCCCATAAAATATTTTACCCAATTAGTTTCACAAAGCTTGTAAAAGGGCCACCAATATTTTTACTCTAATTTGAATACAGAATAAATGAAATCAAATCTCATAACTCCATCCCATGGGATTGTGCTCTTGTCTGATAGTTACGGCCCAAATGACAACGTCTCTTGCACTAAACAAAGTAATACTCCAAAACTTACGGCAACAAAACAAGTCCATTTTCATTTCTGTTCCATCCTCGGCCTACTTATACTATAATTAATGTACTATAATTAATGGGTCTTACTCATAACTCCCAACTCATATTATCATCGAAATACAAACGGTAAAGTCCTTCTTTCGCCATCATTATTGATGAAGATAAGATGTTGGACCCAATACAGAAGCCCAATTCTACAGATAAAAAAATTTGGTGGAAAAGAGAAGGAAGCCCGCGTCCAGGTTGATAAATCAAACCAACTTAGTCCTTAGATAGTGGTTACGCATAGAGTTTCGAAAGAATATTGATTAGCAGCGTATTTGTAACAAAGAAATGAATATCATCTTTATACCTTTGTTCCCAAAAAAAAGTATTCCTTTCACCTCAAAAAAAATTGTCCGCGTTGAGTTTTAAGATTTGTACATTATTTTTTTCGAGACAATAAGCATATTTTATTGTACTTTTTTTTTGTTCTTTTTGAGAAAGATATTTTATTGTGCTATTTAGTCACCAAAAAGAGTTGGAGAAATTTTTTTGGGAACAAATGGGCCATAAAATAACCTAAGATTCGGAATTGAGATGGAATTAATACTCTAGTTTGCTAATTTGTGTAATAATTGCTGCAACATTATCGAAAATTTGACTCGCAAGTAACATAGGCTAAAGCAAATATCCGTAGGTTAAAGCAACGTCTTCATATCTGTAGTCTAATTAAAGTCAGCGGACATGAAATACGAGATGTACACAAATTAACATACATTAAAATGTGATGTAATAATATAAGTGCTTTTTAATAATACAAATACCTTATAAAAAAAAAAGAAAAACCTAGTACAACTATACACCATACAGTATACCCCACAAGCAAAACAGAAAAAAAAAAAAAAAAAAGAGAAGAAAAAAGCTAGAAAGGGATGAGTGGGGGCTTCAAAAGTGTGGCGTTGAATCAACCGTCAGCTGCCTGCCGCCAAATGTTTGATTTTTTTTATGTGGCGTTCACATCGTCTTCGCGTTGAATATGAAAGAATAAAAAAGATTTTTCAAAATCTGTGAAGTGTGAAGCGGGCAGGTAATTTTCCATTTTTGTCCTACTCAGACCAAATCATTATTAGTCAAAGTCACATAGTACTCCTAGTACTGATTTTTATTGTTCTTTTTTTCTTGGACAAAATGATTTATTATTGTTACTAACCAATGTGTTTTGATACGACTTATGAGTTATGGATGACTAATCAACGTTTTTTATATTATTAGAAAAACGTTAATGACTCAATCAACTTAATATAAAAAAAAAATGAACAAATAAATTTGGCATTCTCGTGTTATTTTTATCTAAAAAAATAAATTACATTCATAAAAACCAAATCCTCAATGTAACGATAATTCCTAACTTTAAATCTTAGTAATTAACATCAGACATTCAAAAAAATAAAAAAATAAAATTAGACATTTAAATATTCACCAACTTGTGAATTATAAGTCGACTGTTCCTTGACACTCGTTTCCTCGTTTTTTTTCTTCAGAAAAAAGTTTGTACTCTCATTACAACTAACGATAAATTAGAAAAATTTTGATAACTAAGAATTAGCGCACCTGCTATTAAAATATTTCTTTTTTCCATCAAACCATGCTTATCGTATATCATTTCATCTTTATAAAATTATATTCTTTTATAATCTGTGATAAACTTTATTACTGTAACAACTTATATAATACTTACATTATAAAACTAATACTAGATTATTTTTATTGTTACCGTTGTTTTTAAAATCATGAAGTGTACTATGTTAGTATTTTCTCCATTCGAGATACATCATTTTTCAATTTACATAAATAATTATATTTACTTTTTTTTTTATTTCACATTTATCCATTATCATACCTTTCTCGATTAGTATCAAGGATGGATCTAAGGGGTGCAAACTGCAAAGAGGGTTGGTAAAGTTTTATATAGTTTTGGGAAAAAAAATTTCTAATTATAATCGATCCGAATATTCAGCGTTGAGTTTATCACGAATTAGTATTATTATATATTATTTGTTTCTAATTCAATTGAAATGTCAATTGGTAAACAATGAAAATGATTCAAAATGACAGCTTCAAAGATATCAATAAAAAATATTTCACATCATTCAGGTCATGAATTATCAACTAGCTAGTATTATATGTAAATCTTGTTAAAAGTTTTGATTTCGTCTCGTCAAACCAAGAACGAACATTTTGATGAAGTGGGGGTTTTTTTTTATATGTTTTTATTTTATTTTATTCTATTTTTTTTTAAAATAAATAGAAGGGCAATAGCGTCATTTAACATAGTAAATGGCGTAGTTGAAGAATGAGAAGGCTAGAAGCAATTCCACGAAAATCACACGTAAGGGAAACTGTTCCAAAAATTTCCAATTCAACACTTCAGCCTTCCGTCGCTTCCACCTCCAAAATTTTCCAAATTCTACAAGCAAACTCGACGACTTCCTCCCTTCTCAGAAATTCAATTAAATTCGAAACACAATTCGCAGATCATCAACATGTATTATTAGAGTACTAACTTATAAATACATTCAATTCACCGAGTATCTCAATTTTGCAAAAATGGCCTTCAACCCCAGTAGTTTTAATAGCACAATGATGGACCCACAGTCCGCGGCGGAGAAGGCGGTCGGGGTGATCGGAATGGGCTATGACCTGACCGTCGACATCCGTTTATCGGCCTGCAAAGTGGGTCCCAACGGATCAAGGTTGATCGACCTGGACGATCAGAACGCGGCGTCTACCAGTAACCGGGAGCTGGTGGTGCCCGGCGGGATTGTGGTCCCCGATGTCTCCACCTCCATCAAGTGTGATAAAGGTGAACGCACCCGATTTCGCTCCGATGTTCTCTCTTTCACCCAGGTTAGTTTCATTTTTGGTCTTTAATTTTTTAATTTCTTTTTTAATGGATGCTTGTGTTGGACTGGTTAGAAATGCAATTCTGTGATGGAAGAATTGTTTCTCTCTTGATTCTCTGTTTGGTTTCAAACTGAACGGAATGCGCGGGTTTGAGTTGAATTTGTTTGGTCATACTAAGTAAGAGGGAAAAGGGCTCCTTAGTCCTAAATATGTAGTGATTGGGGAAATAATGATTTACATCTTGTTGGGTCTATTTTTAGTAAATTTTAGGTGCTTCTATTTGTGAAGGATTTGGCTTTTCTTTCTTGAAGTTCCGGAACTAGAACTAATGGGCTTCAAACATAATGGAATTGCAAAAGTGGCTAAGATTATACTAATTGATCATGTTCAAATTCCTACATAAAAATGTCCAAATTTGGATTCGAAGTATCATTTTTCGGATCTATCTAAAGAAATTTCATGGTTGAATGACAAGAAAGGCATTAGCAGCTTTTTATTCTGTTGCATTACATTGATCTAATATGAAGATTTATCGCTATAGTAATTTATGCTAGTTTGTATGAATGGAATTTACGCTGATATCCATGGATCATCAATTTTTTGTTACTACTGAAACTTAAGCAGCTTTCCCTTTCTCATCATCTTGTACCGCTTTACTCTTGTATTCAGATGTCGACGCAAATTAATCAGGATTTATCTCTATCCGGTAAAATACCATCTGGCCTGTTTAATGCCATGTTTGACTTCAAGGGCTGTTGGCAAAAAGATGCAGCTGCCACTAAGAGTCTTGCTTTTGATGGCTGGTTCATATCTCTGTACAATATTGAATTGGCAAAGTCTCAGATTAGTTTATCTGAGCATGTGAGACGCGAAGTTCCTCCCTTTTGGGATCCTGCTGCACTTGCTGAGTAAGACACTGTATCTAAAGATTTTCGTTTAACATTTCATGTTGCACCTTGGTCCTGTGTTTGTTTTATATTTTTATATAATGGTTGAATAATCACATGCATAATGGTCATGAAATAATCATTTACGAAGAAAAAATTTTGATGATAAAATTGTCCATGGATCTGAATGGAATTATTTTCAGGTTTATTGATAAATATGGGACCCATGTAGTTGTTGGAGTAAAAATGGGAGGCAAAGATGTCATTCACGTTAAGCAGCTTCAAAGTTCAAATCTCCAGCCTAGCGAAGTTCAGGCATTGTTAAAGCAACTATCTGATGAGAGATTTTTAGAAGACGTCAGTGGGAAGCACAGGTCAAATTTAGAAGATCTATTGAGTTCACAGGTACAGTGCTCAGTTGACCAGACTCATAATCCGACTTTGTCATTCTTTTCGCCAGTGAGAAATTCTAGTTAGATTCCAAAGCACAAGCACAATGTACTTGGGGAAAGCATAATCTAGAATTACATTAGATAAATCACTCAAAGTTTTGCATTGAATGGCGACATTACCGAGTAAATATCCATTATCGAGGGCTATCAGATTCAGCAGGAATAATTGTGGATAATCTCTAATGTTGAGGGTACTGGGCTCCTTAGATGAAGAAGAACCATGGCTGTTACAAGATATTAATTGGATTATGTTCTGCGTTTACTGACGTGAATTTGAACTGTGCCTATGTTTTGGACCATGGAATGCTTACTTCTGTTCTCCTGTTAAAAACTATAGTGCAATTGAAGTTTGAATGGCTTGAATTTGGTATAAGTACCTTCATTCTCTTACTGGACCGCTAGTTGAATCGTTAATTTTGTCTGGTGGTCTTGCCAGGTTCACATGATGAAGGATGATGAATATTGTTTCTAATAATTCTTTTTTATTTTTGCTTTATGTCTATTTGTCAGCTCAAATAACAATTAAATGCCTGATCTAATTTCAGAATGACCAGTCTGCTCTCTGGGATCCTTATTTATCATTCATAAATCCATCCAGACCAACCATCAAATCTCACACCAAGAATGCGGTAGTTTGCTACCCCTGTTCTCTCTAAAAGCTCAAATTAGTGAAGGGTTAGTTGGAACTAATTTACATATGCTGTCTCTTTCTTTCACGCAGGATGTGCTAAGCATTCATATTCGGCGGGGAGGCATCAATAGAGGTCAAGGTCATTCAGATTGGCTTTCAACTGTATCACATTCTCCTAATGTCATATCAATGTCCTTTGTGCCCATTGCTTCCCTTTTGAGTGGTATCAAGGGTAGTGGCTTTTTAAGCCATGCGATAAATCTTTATTTGCGATGTGAGTATCATCGATCTGAGTTCATCATGTTTATGTACGTAAGAGATTCCTTATGGCTTGCTGGCTTCTGTTGCTGTGTTTCTAGTTAAAGAATGCTTATTCAAAGACTAAGTTGTTACTTATGTGGAAAAGGGGCGCCTTAAAGCAGATCAAGCGCTACGTCTGATAGTTCAACTTTCAGCATTCATTAAGTTTGGCAAAATTTCAAATGTGAACTGATGTTATTTTGCTAAAGTTATTCAACCCAACCCAGAAAGATATCATAATGCATACATGGAAGGCTTTGCCTTGACTAACTTTTCCCCTTGTTCTTTGTGGAAAGTAAAAGTCACGTTAGTATATCCTTCATAGTTATCTTTTGCTTTTCCTTCTGTAACTTGTGATTGCTTTCCATTGGGATCTTATTTTGCAGTCAAACCCCCTATTGAGGAACTCCAGCAATTTTTAGAATTCCAATTACCTCGTCAGTGGGCTCCAGCATTTGGTGATCTTCCTCTTGCTCGCCGCAGGAAGCAAGCATCGCCAGCACTTCAGTTCACATTTATGGGTCCTAAGCTTTATGTGAACACCACAAAGGTCAGAGTTTATTCTGCTCAGAACTTGAAAGCCTTTCTACTATATTTATTTGGCAGATGTAGTTATGTTACTTGCTAGTCCATGATCCTAGACATTTGAGTTTTTTTTTCCATCCCATCACGGAAGTTGCCTGATGTCAAGCTTAATGGGCCAGAATGGATGTTTTCAAAGTTTCGGTGAATAACTTGGGATTGTAATATAGCACTTAGCCTCATTGTTCTCGCAAATGATTTTGATGTTTGGATCAGTAAGATAATGAGTCTTTTAACAAGGGTTCATGTGGTGTACTTGCAGGTTGATTCAGGAAACCGGCCAGTGACTGGAGTTCGCTTGTACTTGGAAGGAAAAAGCAGCGACCATCTGGCCATTCACATGCAACATTTGTCAACCCTCCCTAGGACCTTTCAGCTGACAGATGATGATAGTTATGAACAAGTAGACGAACCAGTTGAACGAGGCTACTTAGAACCAGTCAAGTGGAGCATATTTTCACATGTGTGCACCGCTCCTGTGGAGTATCGTGGTGCACGAATTGATGACTCTGCGTCCATAGTAACAAAATCCTGGTTTGAGGTGAAAAATGTTGGCATGAAAAAGGTCCTTTTTCTTCGGTTTGGATTCTCAATGGTGGCATCTGCAAGGATCCGGAGGTCAGAGTGGGATGGACCATCCACATTGTCTAGAAAATCAGGACTAATGTCGATGATAAGCACAACATTCAGTACAGGGTTGACTCAACCTGAAAAACCAGCAAAAGTGGACTTAAACTCTGCAGTTTATCCAGGAGGGCCACCTTCCCCTGCAAGAGCTCCCAAGATGTCAAATTTCGTGGATACGAAGGAAATGGTAAGGGGTCCCGAGGATCCTCCTGGATACTGGGTGGTGACTGGTGCAAAGTTATGCGTGGAAGGTGGTAGGATAAGTATCAAAGTGAAGTATTCTCTGCTGACCATAGTGTCGGAGGACTCTTTATTGTAGAGAACAATATTGAGATGGATGGGACTTGGAAATGTGCAAATTTTTCTCATTTTCAGTTGGCTTCAACTTCATAGATAGACCAGCTGGACTTTACTATTGGGAAACCAACCTCGCTCAAGATCCAAGGTTCTGTATATAATTATTGGTTCATCCAAATCAATGTAATCTGTTTATTCTTGTGACCAATTCTTGCGGCAATAGGCGATAGTAGTGCATCTCATAGTTGTATTGGAAATCTTCTGCCAAAATTAGTCTTTTTTTAATCACTACGTGAAGTCAGTTAATTCTTTAGTTCATCCAACTCATCTCTCCTTGGCACTCAGCATTTCTTTAATCGGAAATAGCAAAATTTTAACACGACATCATTTGGTTCGCAAACTTGCAGTAGCGTACCAGGTAAAGAGTTGATTTAGTCATGGATATATAATAAAAACCCATGAAAGGTTTGATGATAAGGATCATTATATATTTCCTTTGGGGTTCTCCAATGATAATAATGATCATCAAATACATTGTGTCACGACTTATTCTTTTTTCTATTACGTACAAGTTGGATTAATCCATGATCGAAAAAAATCAAAGAAACACCTTGCATCTGGCATTATGAATGAAGCCAACCTCTCAAGGCTCCTAGTTTTGCCCCATCTCCGCAGTATCTGAAATATAGTCCCCTCTCACATCAGACAACAGCTCCCAAGAAACTGTCAGTAGAAAGACCAAAGGAGGAACAGCAGTAGAAGTTAGATTAAGAAGTCGAACAAAACCAAATCGTAGTGGAGTTAAAAATAAAATAAATTAAAAAAAAAAAACAAAAAGGATTGAGTTTATACAGAAGGGGCTAAACTGTGAAAACAGAGACATGATTCCAATACAGTAGTTGATCAATGATGACCCTTTTTGAATACTGAGCACTCAAAGTTTCAAGAGAAAAAATGGTTACTCTAATTCTTCGTGATAGCCCTATTCCTTTTCTTTTCTTAAGGTATTGGAGCAACCATTTTATACACCAAAATATCCTTCTAAAAGGAAACAAATAACACAGTTTTCCCCCTTCTCTTGATCCACGGATGAATTCGGTTGAAGGGACGTGCCCGATTAGATAATTTTCGTCCTTTGACGAAAGATCTAGTCCAATCATCGAAAGACGTACAAGCCCAGAACAACAGTCTTTTAGTTTGCATCATTCAACAGCAATCAAAACAGGGGAATGTATGAACCAGAATCAAAAGAGGTTCAAAACAAACCAAGAACAAATTAAGCAGAAAAACAGGACAGGATAGAAATCCCAAAATGGAAAAATCCAACAGATCGATCATCAAAGGAAGTTAAAAAATCAAACCTGATGGAGCGGAAGATGAGATGCGGAGAGAGAGCATGGAAAAAGAAATTGACACTGTGAAGGAACACCACCACTCCGGTGCACCCCAGCACAAACAACTCTATCATTTCCTGCTTTCTAATAAGGGATCAAAAAATGCTTGTCCTCTTGAATTGGATTAGGGCTAGTCCTCCGATGACGGAATAACGGTGAATCCTCGCAGAAGTACCAGAGGATCCAATTGTATTTGATCAAGGAAGGAGAGAGATAGAAGGAAGTCAAGTTGGGAACTAGAAAATAAAAGAGAGTAAAACGTTGTGTGTTTTCTTCTGTTGGATGAAACAAAATACTAATTAAATACTACTCCCTCCATTTTTTTTATATGTATTTATGGAGAAATCATCAAAAATAAAAACACATTAATTAATGTAATTAAAATATAAAAATATTTTTATTTATTATCTATACAATTCATCACAAACCAATAGAAAATTCATTATAAATATTGTTTCATTTCCAATGCAAGGATAATATTGGTTAAATATGGTCAAATATGTATGTGAAAACGACATATATTTAAAAAAATTTACCAAATCCTAAAACGACATATATTTTAAAATAGAGGGAGTACTAAATACTTGTAAAATAAAAAAAATAAAAAAATAGAAACAATAGTAAGAAGAAGGGTGGGTACAAACAGGCCGATTGAATCCTTATCATTAAGAGTTGTACTTTCTATAATTGTTATCATAAAAAAGAATTATGGGGGAGCTAATGATTCAGTTTAGAATCTTAGGATATGCACTAAAAATGAAGGAATGACGTCGTTATTCACGGCAAAAGCAATATCCTTGACATCCTTATCGCTGCAGGTGTGCCTTTTCCCCACACAATTATTTTGCCATTAACTAATACTTCCGTCCTCAAAAGAACCCACTTTGTTATACAATTTTAATTTAATAATATAATAACTATTTGAACTATATTTTTTAAGACGAAAGGAGTATTTATGACCAGTCCACTGTTTTTTTTTTTTTCAATTTAATTTGAACATTGGAAGTTTAATGTATCATGTATGTACGAAGGATTGTATAGTTTATTATGATAGACGTATATTGTATTTTTTTTTTTGACAATTAATGATTGTTTTGGGACGTATAGAGTGTAAAGGTGAGGTGCCAAAAAATTGAAGGGAAAATGGGATACAGACGTAAAGGTTCATAACCAAGAAGGTTCGTAGATCCAGGAGGAGAAGGAGGGATCCAAAGGGGATGATGATGCGTAGGAATGAGATGGCGGGGGTTGGTTAGGCTAAAGCCTTAGAATTTGGATAACCACCGCCCTTCCGACGTTGCACCTCATTATTATTACCTTAACTAATCCTATCTCTCTGTCACCCATACAACACAAACATTCACAATTGTACATAAACTTCCAAGGAATTATTATTTGCCTTTTTTTTTTTTTTTCTTCTTGATCAATCATTTTTGGACTATAACTTTTGCTATCTCTTTCTCTTTCTGCCAATGTGCAATGATATTTGGTGATTCAGGGACCCCAATGAATGAAACCTGTCTTCTTCATTTTATCAACCATATTTTATTCACTTTGGCTTGTGTTTCACAATCTGTCACCCCCTTCCATTTATGTATTTTTTTTTAATTTTTTTTTTTGATCTTTGATGTTATAACAAATCTGTCACCCCTATCCGTTACCTTTTCCTTTTTTTTTTTTTTTTTAAAAAAAAACCATGAGCTCGTTGCTTTGCCTTTTCCTATAATGAATTGTAAGTCATCGTCAACTTTGGAGTCATCTCCTGCCAAGAAACTACTTCACTATTGTTGATTTGTTGTTATTACATTTTTTTTTTCATACAATTTGCTACCTCTTTGGCAATTATTATTTTCCACCTCTCAAGGTGATGTACACATATTTTCCAAAAGAAACCTACATAAAGAAATAAATATGAAATCCAAGTCAAAGGGGGGAAAAAAAAAAATTATTCTACCAATATGACTATGGGAAGGTTTTTTTTTCTTTTTTTCTTATATAAGGTAACATAGAGGGCACTTCAAAGGTTAGTTTACGTCTTCATAAATTAACCTAATCGTCAGAGCAGTTTTCCTTCGCTGTTCTTAACTTTGCCTCTAAATTCTTCTTAATTCAACGCGACGAAGAGAGCTCATCGGCGGAGAAAGCACCCAAATAAGCATGGAAGTTAACGGGGCAGAGGACACGATGATTACCGAGCCGGAACGTGTATTTCACGAAACCCCTTGCGGCAAGGGTTTAGGGAACACCCTGATGGTGGTCAGAGACCGTGGGTGGCTCAAAGGTAACCGTGAGGTCCATGACGACGAGGGATCAAGCGATGAGGTAGAAACTGCTAAGAGGAGGAAGGACAATAGCAGCTCGGTTCCTAAAACTAAAGGCCGCTATAACTTTAAGGATTTACAGATTGTGAGACGTGATGGACAGGGCCGAGAATTGACTCCCAAGGAAGCTTACCGACAACTCTGCCATGTTTTCCACGGGAAGTCGCCCAGCAAGAAGACCGTCGAGAAGCGGGAACGCCAACAGCAGATGAAGACGGACAAACCCACCGTCACTCAAGATTTGCTGGCGCTTGAAAGAAGCTTGAAGGTTGCTCAATCACCCTATGTCGTCATCAGTGCTGGAGAAAGAAAGAAATCACGGTACTACTAACATCCCCCCTACCCCCGAGTTAGTTTTGCATCAATTTTTTGCTCTTTCTGTTATGCTGTTATTGTCCTGATAATTTAGCCTTTCAGAAACCTCTGTTATTTTATGCTTTTTAATTTATCGGTACTGTGGTTAGCAGCTCAACTTTCTTTATTAGCTAACAGCCTTGTCCATATTTATTTTTAGATTCTATAAAGTCTGTCTTAAATTTAAAACCCTAGATACTCAAGCTAATTTTGTTGTCAGGTTACACGCCTGCTACAGGGTATACACAAAGGTCAGGTTGTATCCTGCTTCCCAAACCCTAATCCCAACCATTTGATTATATGGAAGGTAAAGCTGGTTCATTACTAGTACTAGGTAATCTGCTATACTTTGTCCCAATGATTCCGATTATGCATAATAGTCGACTTAGGTAAACTGAAACGGGTTCTCTATAAAGCTTCTAAGATAGAATTGGACTTCACACAAAGACACAACAAAGTCTTGCACACAGATAAGAATGGGGATGAGCAAAGATTATAAAACTAGGCAAAGCTGCAACAATAAGGTATGGACTATAAATATCCTTTTCCTTTCTTTCTGCCTTTTTCCCAGGAACAAATTGAGCACTAAAGAAGAAAAGGGTGCAATGTGCGGAAGAAAATTTACATAACTACACGATTCTGTCTTTGATTACTGCATTTATCTAATAGAAGGTAATTTCTCTTCCTTTTTCTTTTCTTCAATTGAAAACAAATATATTATCTATTTTGAAAATAACTGCAACAAAAGGTAAAATGACTTGTTATGTGAGACAAGCTTTTAAAGAAGATAGTTGACACCAACTAATGAAAACTTTCTGCTGGTTTGGTCGCTAGAAAGATGTCAATAACTGATGCTAGCCCAATATCCCTGTTAATCTCATCTAAAGTTTTGACATTAATCTGCAAACTACAGGGACTTACTTCTCCCATTACTCGGCTAATAGAGTTGAGGCAAGCAGATCTTGTACGAAAACAGCTCGCCCAGCAGCTTGTCTCATTCTCTTTTCTCGCTCTTCATGACTCAAGGATGAATCAAAACTGCAAATACGCGACATAACAGTAAACAGAAGTAGGGTGCATCCCAAACTTAGAAGTATAAGCAGAATCAAAGTGGTTACAGATCTATGATAAACCAAGCAACTTAAGTATCAGCGTGGCATATCAAATCGGAATAACAATATGATAAACAAATATGAAAAGAGTTCTGCCTCTCGGGGAGCACTCAGTTTGAACTAATCCTTATCCTTGTCAGGTTAGGCGGACTTTGATGATAAACTACAATATTCAGTTCTCTAAGGAGTTGGGGTAACAGAGTTTTTTAGGAATATATACATTCGGTTGTCTTGACATGCTGAACTTTAAATAAGTTTTGAGTTTGCCTTGTAACGGATAATGGTAAAGATGAACGTAAATAAAGATATTGTCGATGCTCAGGAATGATCCAGTAAGCCTGACCTAAGAACTTGTTTGATGATTTTTGTTGTCTATGAGGCTTAGTGTAAATGTGCAGAAAATACTCTGTTCACACTACGCATGAAACAAGTGTATTTTCTACAGGGGCATCAGGGCAACTGAAAAGCATAGGTTTTACCCAATCAGTTATCAGGCCACAAGGAATTGCAGAATTTTCAGTAGTATCACTGCAGGTCTGTAAGCCACTTTTTGTGGGATAACGGGATGATCTCAAATTCAGATCATTAACACTGCAGTGAAGTTACAATTGACCCTTGATCTCTTCAATCAGGTAAAAAAAGCATCTACGGAAACTCTTATGTTATGAACAATGATTGGCTCCTTACAATTACAGTTTTCCTCTGTCACTAAAATCCACCAAGAGGACTAGGGCAAGCTGACAGGAGCAAGAACAAAATTCATAAAATCAGATAAGGTATATGGTTTCCTTGGGTTTCAGTTCATAGTTAGTTGCATGCTTCTAAAAGAACCTTGCATTCAGGCAAGCAGCAGTGAAGTGGCAGATAAAACCACGAGTTAGTCTATTGAATTCACAATGGTTACTTGAAAGGTAGAAGTAACGGGACAAAAAACATGCAACCTGGTGCACAGAAGTTTCTGTACGCATGGCCTGGGAGATGAGTCAGCCAATTAAGGCATATTGGGAGCCGTATCTCATATTTCTATAAGGGACTGTTTTGGTGGGATAGATTAAGTGCAAACAAAACTGATAATCTCAAACCACAAGGCAACAACTTAATTCTGCACCTAGAATCCCTATTGGGTACTAGAAAAATAAGAGCTAAAAAGAAAATTCCCAAAGAAAGCATATATATCGTGCTACCTTGATTTCCATGTACGTTGTAAAGGCACACACTTTGGTGAAGCATCCTCAAGACTTGAAGCCAGAGTTTTTGAAATTTCTTCAGCTTCAGTTGCAGGAAAGTTCAGGACAAGAGATGAAAGTAGAGGATCAGTAATTGCAACGGATGAAGTTGTATTGTTTGATCTGTAGCCACTGCCTCCTAAAAGAACCTGTAAATGGGCCTCCCTTAGATCTCTGCCCAATAGAGACAGTGCTTGACTACTAGGAACTGCAACTCTACGTAACCTACGACGCCGCTGCAAGTAGTCTGAAGTTAAAGAAATATCAACTAAATTCAGATTACGAAAACTAAAATGTGCATTTATGCAGATGATTGAGATGGAAAACGTGTTTTTAATGCCCATCATGTATCATAAAGTCATTTCCATGTAAGGATATCTTGAATAAGTGTCCATGTTGCAGAGTGATATGACTCAACATGTTCCGCGCAACTTTAACAGAACAGATGGGACAAACCTGCAAACAAAAATAACTTTCATCAATGGGAAATAATCGAACTCCAAACGAGAAACACGCATAGATGTAAAGTTGATGTCTCCCCTTCTTCTTGACACAGATTGGTTAAACTAATAGAAAAAGGTATTTTTTAGAAAATTTATGTCAAGTTTGATATGAAAAGCCACATATTTCTTTGAGAGGATAGCAATGGAGTACAAAAGACAGAACTATACAACAAAATCAAGTGATATTGACTTCTTTGAAATATTTATAGTACCTCAATAATGACAAACGAAGATGCTGTAAAATGAGCACTACTGTCAATGATACAAATTTTAAAAGAAATACTAATGGTGAATAACAGCCATGAATGTGTGATCTGTGAGATCTTCTACAGCACGTAGAAAACCACCAACCCCAATGGCAAACTTGAGTAAACACAACCTAAAATGATGGTCGGGCAAAAAATTACTGCTTGATGTCTACTCATGCTTGTTCCTTCTTATAGAACAACCTGTCTCTGGAAAGAAATTTGATGAGTGTTAAGTTTCCTTCAGAGCTTTAAGCTTTATTAGAGTTGCATGTTTCACTTGCGGAGATAGTTTTTTTGATTATTCTACCGAAGTATTTCAATCTGTTACATTCACAAAATCATTGCTTTTGACCCAAAAAATGAAACAATCATCCACTATAGAGGATCATTAGCTTCAAACTCAGAAGCTCAGGCCAGTAATCTGCACTCTGACCAGAAAAGTGTGTAGCTATCAGCTATCTGAAAAGGCTGAAGGCCAAACTCGGAAATCGAAAAAGCAAGGAGGAAATCGACATTAAACAAATTCTGTACCAAAATGTGTTTCCGAAAATAGTTTGAGGACGGTCATATGACTGAGTATAACTAGGGACATCTTACCATACTAAAGAGAGCAAAAAAATCTGCTTTTCCATCCGCTATAACAAAATTTGCTTACACTTAAATGGCAAAAACAAAGAAAGTTTTACAGCAATTTGCAAAATGAAATCCAAAGCTTAAAATTATACTAAGAAAAATCTTGACCTCGAAAGTTTTTCCATTAAAGAGCAACCCAGAATGAAAATGAAGATCGAGATTGTCCCCCAAAACAAGGAAAGAGATTAACACCAAAAAAAAAATCCCCAGAAAAAAACATGTGAGAATCCAAGCTCACCGTGACTTTTGATTCGCAAGAGTGTTCATCTTCAAGATGTGAGCAGAGGGATGCAATATCAAAGTCTTCATAACAATACGGGCATGGAAATTCTGCTCGGACCTCCTCTTCCACCTCGAAATCATCAATATTCAACCGATCTGAAAATAATCAAATCCACCCCTAACAACTTAAATTTTTACAAAGAATCAACCTTTAGATCAATCAGACCCAACCCACAAAAAATTTACATAAAATTCATAAACCAAAGTCAGAAAGGAAAAAAAAAAAAAGAGAAAAGAAAAAGAAAAGGGACACGAACCAAATTGAGAGTTGTGGCTATGGCTATGATGATGGTGTTGCTGATGCTGCAGATTGAATTGGCGCTTTGCAGCAGCGAGGCGGGAGGTCCAAAACTCAGAGTCCATGAAGACCGAGAAAGAAAGAAGAGAGAGAGAAGGAGAATTTAGGACAAACTCCAAATTATATAAACAAATAATGAATCCAAAATAAGAAAAAAATAAATTACTTTTAGGATCAATAAATGATTATTACACCATGGTTACTTTTGTGTTGTTCATGATTTGGCTGAAATGCTGATGATATATATACACACGATGAATAAAAATAGGTACTTTATTTTATTCATGGATTCAATGGGTTTCTAAAAGTGTTATCTTTTTCCATGTAATTTCCAGTTTTATTTCTGGATGTATGGGATTCTTGATGATGGTGTGAAGAAGGTGAAAATGCATTTTTATTGTTTTTGTGTTTGCGCTCCGTTTGACGTGTTCTTCTTGTTGGCACGTTGATATCTGAGCTGCTAAACGGTTTCTTTTAAAGCTACAATAAAGTTTGGACATTTGTACTCTATCCTCAAATAATTCCTCGTCACTTTTGTACAATTGTACTACTAGTACAACCTTTTCTTCTTTATAAACCGAGATCAATCAGGTAAAATTATTCTTTTCCAAAAAAAAGGTAAAATTATTTAAACAAAAATCTTTTCTACTTTATATAATTACCATATACATTTCGGAATCAACTAGATATATAAAACATTTAGACTAAAGTTCATACACTTCTTTTTTCTTGGAAAAAATACATGTTCATTCATTTGATTTGAAATCGTCAATCAATGTTCACCAAAAAAAAAAAAAAAAAAAAAACGTCAATCAATAATTGATAAGGGAAAAACACTCATAAAACTTTTTTTTTTTTTGAAAAGGAATCATAAAACTAATCACCGCACGAAGTTGGGGTAGTACATGGAAATTTACCTCGCAAGTTTTTCCATTGAAACTCTAATATGTAGTTTCTCAATTTTTATAAAATGTTAGAGCCATGAGTCAATGATCATAATTCACAGTTTTGTATGCATTTTAAATAACATGCATTTCTTAGGTACTTACTTTAATTACAAAATAAGAATATGTGTTTTGATTCATGAATGAGATAAAATATATCATAATCTTAACAGTTCTTCGTAATTTTATTTTTAAATTTTTGTCGACATTCAAATATTTTAACTTCTATGTTTTGCTCTCAATTTTGTTACACCATTTCGTAACATAATATTACAATAGAAGACCTAGCGGTGTCTCATTTTACAATTTTCCTTTTTTTTTTGCTATATATTGTCTATTTTAGTTGGTGGCTATCATGATCAAATTTTATTGCGATATGATTTAAATAACCTTTTCGGATTAAAAAATTTAAGTATCATTTGTACAAAAAAAATTCATATTCAAAAATTATTTTCGTGGCAAAAGGAATAGTAAAAGATTTATATGAACAAGAAAAGCAACCATATATATTTCTGTGGTCAATTAAAAATTACTCTATCTGTCCCTTAAAAAAAATAGTCGACATTAAAATTTAAGATTTGTAGTAGGACATAAGTAGTATTGTATAATATTTAAAGTTAAAGGGTGGCTAATAGAATTTACGAGAGTACAAGGGCTGCAAAGGAAACGGCGCACGACGTCGTATAACGTACGTCCTTTTGACTTTCGAGTGATACACACTCCCCTACCGCCCCAAAATTGATAGTAATAAATAATTGCCGGTATCCCCAGTGCTTTCGTTCCACTGCATTTTCCTCAAAATTAGGGTTAGGGTTTTTTCCATCAACGGAACTCCGGAAGCCCTCTTAATATCTGCTCTCTTATAGATCTCAGTTTTTAGTCAATGGCAAGCAGAGGCTCAGGAAGTGGACTCCCTTATCGGGGTGGCGGCCGCCGCGGAGGCAGAGGAGGAAGAGGAGGCAGAGGAGCAGGAGGTGCAATCGGAGGAGGAGCCGCAGCCGGAGACAATGGTGGAGATCCTAAACCTGGACTGAGAAAACCGGTGTTTGTTAAGGTGGATGATCTGAAACCTGGTACCAGCGGCCACACTTTAACGGTCAAGGTCTTGGAAGCCAATACAGTTCTGAACAAGAAGCCTCGCAATCCCGCGTCGTCGTTTCGTGGGCCGTCACTTCAACAACAGCAGCCCAGTCGCATTGCTGAATGTCTTGTCGGTGACGAGACGGGAACAATACTCTTCACTGCGCGAAACGATCAAGGTTTTCACCCACGCTTGCCTATTTCTTTTGCAAATTGTCAATTTTTTACATTGGATTCGAGTATCACGTCGTTGTTAGGGTTGATGTTGGTCACTTGATTGGGGTGAGATTTGTTGTTATGGTCTATTGTTTGTTAGATTTGCGTGGGTTTCTCTTGCTGAGTGCTAAGATGTTGTTACATGTTTCTCCGCTTTTCCTCCTTATGTGTAAAGGTGTTTGTATTTTTTGCGACCTTCTGATTTCCAAAGGTGATTGAAGTGGGTATTTGTTTCCTTTTGATTATGGAATTTTCAACTTCATTGTAAACAAAACATCAGCTTGAAATGAATTCCGAAAACCATAAAATTCAGCTTCAAATAGCTAATAACCCTCCTATTGTAGTTGCTCCTTCTGTGCCTCTGGGTGCATGAAGTTACACCTTTATAATTTAGTTGCTGCTGTCTGTTCTCTACTATGATTCATTCGAGCTGATATATACCTTTTAACCTTGGGTTGGGGTGGTTTCTTGAGCTACTAATTTTGAGGACTGCAATTAGTTGAATTTTGTGTTTGACTATGTATTGAAAGAGTTCGGTTATCCACCTTACCTAAGGTCTTCTACATAATATATGTTGACTTTCTGATATTACTGGTACTAAAATAGTTGTCAATCTTTTGTGAAGCTGAAATGTTGTGGGCCTAGAGTCTTCTCTCGTTGTTTTTGGTGCATTTGAACTTGATTTTCTCAGTGCAAAACTGGGTACTCTCAGGAATTTGTTTTGACCGCTTTATTCCTTTGTTTATCTGGATGAAGCTCTGGATTGGGTTTGGGGGGAGGGGGGGTTCTTCTTGGGAACTTTTATTCAAGGTTTTGTTCTTGCTTGGAAGGAATTCTGTTTCTCAATCTAGTTAAGAGTACGTTTATGTAGTTCCTAAGAGGGTAATACTATTGTTCTTTGCAGTTGACTTGATGAAGGCAGGCAATACCGTGATCCTCCGCAATGCAAAAATTGACATGTTTAAGGGTTCTATGAGATTAGCTGTTGATAAATGGGGTCGCATTGAGGTGACTGAACCTGCGCAGTTTGTGGTCAAAGAAGATAACAATCTGTCCTTGGTAGAATACGAGTTGGTGAATGTCGTTGAAGAATCTTGAATGTTTGCCATATGTTCTGATTTCATGATGGCGATTTCCGTACATTTTGTTTGTGACCGTGGGTTCTGGTATACATGCCTGAGGAGTTTTAGTAGATTTATATTTTGTTTTTATAGTTAACTTGTGACAAGACTAATCTAATCTTATATTTTTTTAGTTACTTTGTGAAAGATTGCGTCTTTGTTTTGCCATCTAAGCATGTGAGGGTGGTGAAACCTCAAATTTTTGAGGTGTTCATATGGTTTCGGTTGCGCTATTTTGGAGATAGGGCTGTCTCAATATTAGTACTTGTGTTCTATTGTTTTTGACATTGGTGGAAATGAAAGTTGTTATTCTCAGTTAATCCGCTCCTCATTCTGTATTTCTCTATCTGCCATTATCACTCTATTTGTCAGCTCTGATGATTATTTCATTTGGAAGATAGTTGTGTGGTGTTTGTGTCCATTTCGAAGGCAACCAGTTTTAATCACAGAAACATGACAATTTTGTTTTCCACTGAATGAGAAATCTAGTCTAGTCCCAAAAAATAGGCTGCAACCTCAGTTCTCTAGCAGCATATGAATCAAGGAGTTTTGTTCAGTAAAATTATATCCAATTGGCGTGTGAACTGAACACTGGATGCCAAATAGATAACTGTTCCCGATGAACACGGCGGTGAAACAACTGGAAGCTAGTAATAAACTGTAGTCTCAAGTGCATCCAGGCCTGCTTCATAACAATGAGAGAAATTGAATTTCTTAGTAAAGACTTGGCAGAACCTCCACCTGAGGTGACAATTATAAAGAAAACGAAAACCCTGCCTGCAATGTCTCCTAGGTTCACAGACAAATTCACACCTTCTAGCAATGTATTAAGACGTTTAGTCACATTGCTTGATCGACAATTGTCAGTAAATTTTAGCCCCATTGCATGCAATGTAAATAAGGTGACGAATTCACTTGCCAAGTTAGATTTCTCGTGTTTTGGGATTACAGATTTTGTTAATACCTTATAAAAAACTACCGAACATGTATTAGTAGATAGGCAATCTCCATCCCACTCTCATGACTCATGAGGATGATTTGTAACTAAGCATTGCGCTTCCTTCGTATATATAGAAAACCCTGCCAGCTGTACTAATCATCATGATAGAAAAATTAGTAGCATCAATCCCAGTCTGATAAAGCTTCAATCTTTTCCTTCCAGACGCATCTAAATCACCGCCCTTTCGCGCAACTGTTTGTTCAAAAAATAACTTTTAATTCCTTTTGGAGTGCGCTCTTGATTATTTATGTGGCGATCAGGAAAGATCTTTTCTGTCCAGGTAGTCGAATTGTAAGCGTTGCTTTCACAAAGCCAGTTTATGAGAAGGGCTTGCCAATGCGTACGCCGTTGTATACCACTACCGGACAAAAACCACCACAGGAAAAAACGCCCATTCGCAAGTTCAAAAATTATAGCAATAGTTCCCATTGGAGAACTCAAAACGGTTTCCTTTTCGGTGTAAACTACACTTAGTTTGATCAATTCCCATCGTGCACAAACAACCAAAGTCTAAATCAAGGACGAGCGTTTCAGTTCGTAATGAAACGGAAATACAACCCATCACCGCGTTCCAATTGAAATTGGTCATCCATCTACAATAAAATCAAGAAGAAAAAAACACTTATGCACTATGGTGGTGTATAACTAATCCCTTCACTACCATGAAAAATCAGAAGCAAGATTCCATGAAAGTGCAAAAACATATAACAAAATGTCGTCCTCAATCATCGACTCTCTCAAGAATAGTTAATTGATTAAAAAACGGTATAACTATAATGACATTATGGAAATCTTCAAGCCGAAAGTCTGCCAATGAGCACTAATCACATCCCTAAACAAAACAAAACCAAAGTCAAAAAATTGTGGCGAAAAGGACATCCATCTTCAATAATAAGAAAATGAAATGCTTATGAACGGCGGTATATGCACAATTAATCTCTTCAATAACGCGTAAAGGCAAAGATGTAAGATCCCGTGATAGCGTAAAAACAGTTCACAAAATGTCATCGCTTATCAAATCTCTCAAAGGTAATTTAATAGATAAAGTAGGTATAACTATGATGAGGACATTATAGAAATCTTCATGCCGAAAGTCTGCCAATGAGCACTAATCACAACCCTAAACAAAACAAAACCCAAGTCAAAAAATTATGGCCAAACGGTCTTCCATCTACAATAAAAAGAAAAAGAAGTACTTATGCACGGTGGTGGATGTATAATTAATCTCTTCAGTAACACATAAAGACAAAAGATGCAAGCTCCCATGAAAACGCAAAAATAGTTCACAAAATGTCCTCGTTTATCAAGTCTCTCAAAGATAGTCTAATAGATAAAATAGGTATAACTACGAAGACATAATGGAAATCTTCATGCCGAAAGTCTGCCAATGAGCACTAATCACAGCCCTAAACAAATAAAACAAACCCAAGTCAAAAAATTACGACAACACTTCCCCAAAAACTGCAACTAAATCACTCGGCAGAAATTTTGAATTGATAAAAAAAGTGCAAGAAGGTCCAACTTCAAATACATGCTTCATCAACTCAATGACCTGCAGTTATTCGCACCTCTCTGCACTAGGAAGCTGTTGGACCTTTTAGGAACCTAATTGGAAAATAGAAGGACTACTCGTCATCGCAAAAATGATTTATATTGGTTTTCCAATATCTGGAAAGCTATAAATACTTCAGCCACCACCAAAGACAGCATAATGATAACAAATTAAATGAAGTGACTCCAAGAACTATTCCAAAATTCAACAATATAAGCTACAAAAACGTTTTGGTAGGAGACACAAACTTTACTGGCCACGGCCAGTACTCTTTGCCTAGGGTAGCTTCTCAAGTTTCATCGAAAATTTACTACAATATGGCTCCTACACGAGCAGTGCAGATTAATGATTCAATAATATAAACAACAAAGCATCAATTTTTGAACTAGAACTGAAAGGTTCCACTGAATTCATCCAACAGATCATGGTTTATACAAATTCCAGAAGTTCAAAAACAAAATTTAAAAGGAACATTATCAAGAAAATACTATTTCTCCTCAGAAGCTCATTCATTACTCTAATTATCAGGCATTCTCCTACTGCAAATGGTTATAAACTTCGCCCGGACATCTGATAATCATCATACATCATCGTTGCAATCTGAGCGAATACCATGTATTAGCAATCTGAATGAATACCATGTATTAGAATGATTGCTACATGATCAAATAACTGCAATGCAACCAGTAAAATTATTTAGCAGTCAACATTGAGTTCCTCAGATTTCTGACTTTTATTTTAATTTATTTTATTTTTTTTCCCATGGAGTATAAAATCATGATAAGAACATGAATCAATACATAACATCAAGCAAAAAAAGAAAACAAGGAAATGCATTGCCTCCTACAACTCTTCAGTGTTCCAAGATGATGTTCAAATTCATAAAAAGCTACACCAGAAAACTACTAAACTCAACATTGGATCCACGTATACACAACGAACATATTTGTTTAAGGTTCACTACCTCATACAATGATAAGTTGTATGATGTATCAAATGTAGACTTGTCACAGATAAAACCAGCTATCAAAACTTTCAAATCAAACTTTTCATAAGCTTTTTCTCAGTTGCAAAAGAACTTTGGGGAACTTCAAATTTGGATGCAAGAAATGAAATTAAAATCCCTTCACCACCTTCTCAAATCTCAATCTTCATCTAGTCCTCTCCTGCCCTACAAGATGGAAACCATATGCACTCTTTTATTTTGAGAGGGACTAGAGAAAACAAAGAGAGTAAGAGAGGACCGTGTTGAGTAGCTGTTAATGATATTGAGAATTACACTAGTTGTAAAGACATAAGAAAATGATGATGTTCAAAGACATCAACTTTTTGTATTTTAAAAAAAGAATTAATTTAAATGAGCATGATAACCACTTTTATAGGCACATAATAAAAACATTTAGGTGATCCTAAACCCTAAAATTTTCTACTTTCAAAACAACCTGAAATCCAGGGCAAATACAAATATTATCACGAAAATACAGCGCAAAGAACGAACAAAACCAACAAAGGACACTAGACATTCAATGAACGAACCGTACACCAACTATAACAAACAAAATCCAAGAAATGATAGTGAAACAAGAGTTACTAAACAATCATCAAAAAAAAAAAAAAAAAAAAATCCCAATATATGTGACATATACTGATACACTCTAGTTCATAATCTGATTGAATCTGAAGAATTGAATACATAAAGAAACATTCAGTAAAGCTGTGCAGCAGAAATACAAAGAATTAGAAGCAAGATTACCTTCAAGAGTCCAGCCAAACGTCCGAGGAGAAACTGAAAGCATAGAAGTAAGCAAGGCAGAGGCAGTAGCAGTATGGTATGGGAACATGGAGTCCATGCTAACACTGCTCAACTCAACCGGCGACCTACAATCACATACACAACATCCTCATCCGATTCTGAAACTCATACTGGTAAGAATTAATTAGATTGTTAGATTCGGGGATTACGATTAATTTTACCTGAAAATGCGAGCGTTGAGAGGCTTTTGAACAGGAATGCGAAACGGTGAAGGAGCGGCCTTTGGTTTTGCACCGCTGAAGGCTTTCGCCGCCGCAGACCGTACCGATGTGGTTGCTGAACGCATTATAGACCTTCCGCCGACGGCAGCCATTGATACAAAATCTGAAATTGGTTGAGTTTTTGGGAGGGTTTTGAGGCTGAGAAGTGAGAATAGAGAAATGTCGTTTTGGCCGTTTTTCCAGCTATCAAAGGGTTTAAGCCAAAAATTAGATATTAGGGATGAAAAAAAAAAAAAAGTCTGTCTTTTTCTTTTCCTTTTATTTCGTCGGCATTTTTCTTACATAAATACACACGAATAGGAAATGATCAAATTCTCTTTCTTTCTTCACAATTCACCAATTAATTGATCATCCTCTGCTCTGCCGCCTAAACACTCTATAGAACAATGGCATCGGCAAGAGCAAAACTGATCTTTCGATTAGTATTGTGCACTCTGTTTCTTCTTTTGCTCTTCTATGTGGGTCGTCCTCTTTACTGGAAAATCTCGGCTACCTTTCACGATATCAGAGCTAATAAGCAAACTGTCTCTGGAGGTACTTTTTCACTTCCTTTGTCCCTGTATCACTGTTCGATTCTTTCAATTTTTTCCGTGCAAATGCGAATTTTATTATTGTTGGGGTATATCATTGATGCATTTCTAGTGTAGAACTTGTGTTACCATGAAACCTCTTGTGATTGCCTTTCTGGGATGGGCCAGAAAATTTGTGCTTTTTGTTTATGTTATGGGTTAGGAATCTAAGAAGAATTGGGGATGATCGCTTGATTAGTCCATGTGTTCTTTTTCCCTGACTTGGGTTTGACGGAAAGGTTGCATCTTTTGTTTTGGGTTTATGTAGGAATTTCACAGATCGTCCATGAAGCGAAGAGATCGGTTGGGTGGCTTCATCATTATGGGTCTGAAACAAGACACGGGGATCAGAAATTAGCCGCTGCCAGGAGGCTTCTTGATGTTCATCAGATTCCTGAGAGGATGTCAATACTATTCTAAATCATAATTGAGTTCAATGGTGTTTGTCAATTAGTCAAGATTTCGTGACATCATTAGAGATCTCCAGTATACAGCGTTATTACAGTTTGGGTTTCCCTAGAGGACCTAGACTCGAGCCTTACCTGCATTTATGAATAAATAAAGATTCTGCAGTGAGAAGATTGTGATTCTCGGGAAAGATTTAAGTTATATAGGTAGGTGATGATCATCTTGTAATGTGTAGTATATGATATCAGTAAATTCATGGTTCAAGTCACAAGTGCCAGTTTATAAATTAAAGTACATGAGACTTGAGTTGAAACATATGTAATGAAACACTTTCTTGGAATACTTATGCATTGTCAATAAAAATATTGTGGAAAGTTTGATAAGTTTTGTCTATTCCTTCCTGAAATCTGAACTAGACAGCATCTTCAAGACTTCAACAATCAGCTTGTAAAATGCAGAGTTTGAATTTTGGGGCTAATACCTTAGTTATGAGACGGAGGTTATTGTGAGTTTTTTTTTTCCAGACAAGTGAAGTAATTCGAAAAAAGAAAAACATGGAGATGGTTGTTAGATATCTATCGACACATACATCATTGTGCAAGACCTCAAAGGAAAGCATTCAGTAAGCTTTGATGGCATGGAAATAGGTATTATGGTTGTCATTTTGCTCAATGGAAATGCTGCATTAGATTCGCTCTAACAGGTTTAGACGAGAGAAGCTTCAGGTCGTAAGTTGCTGCTAATATGTGTCAAGGATGATCATATTGGTGGTACTTGGATTAGTAGCAGTTGATATACAGTAAATTGAAGTGTCTTCATCCGTCTATTACGTTGTTGTTTGTTCCATGCACTGTGATTCCCTTACATGATGGTTGGATTTACTCCATTCTGAAGTTAGATATTGAAATTTGAAAGTTTCTGCCATCGCAATGAAGCAATAAAGCTTGCTTCTATCATATTCAAACCTTTGATAAGGCTTTAATCAATTATCTTCACAAGCAGTAACCTATTTGGTTCTTTTCTCTCATTTATGACTTGTAACTTTTGCCAGCAAGCCCAACACGGGAAAGTTACAGGTATCCTTTTGAACATGAAAATAGATATGCTTCACAAATCTTCTGCTCTACTCGAAATTTTTTGATTGCTAATCAGCTGTTTCCTTGCCTAACTGTAAGAAACTTGAACTAAGACAAACCGATGACTGCTGATTCTGGGAGAAACTTATTCCAGACATACGTGGTATAATGAACAGTCTGAAAAAAAAAAAAACAAACCCGTATTTCACACTCCTTTGAATGGAAGGAATCAAATGTTTGGCCTAATTTCAATGTGTAGAGGTGCTTTTGCTTCGGCTCATTTTACCAATCACATTTTGTAACAATGGTACACAAAGTCCCTGTGAGGTTTCAACTCCTTCAGTCCTCGAGACCTCAGCATTTGATGTAGATAAGCTCCTGTTTTGTCTGAGATCCATCGAGTTTGGAAACTGCAAGGTCCCTCTATTTCCAGGTCTTATTCCCATGAGCAGTCCTAGAGAAACACTCTTGTCTGGGAAGAATGATGCCGAGGACTAATGCGTATTACATGAAGGAAACAAAACCACTACGTAAGTTCAGAAAACGAAGCTGACAAATAACTGAAAATAACAAAGAATGTACCTCGGTGTCAAGATTGGATGACGAAAATGATGAGAAACTAGGAGAGGGAGCTTCTGTTGGTGATTGTTCTCCTGGTGTGGATGGTCTTGCTGCCAGAGAATTCGGCGTCACTATCAGTCTCAAGTTAATGTTTCCGAGTCCAAGTGGCCATCCATTTGGTGCTTCTGTGATCTGTAAAAAAATGGTTCATTGATCAACATTTAATGAATTTTGTTGAACCATACCAAAGATGAATCAGTCTTATTCCTCAGGAGCTCAGCTCACTAATTGTTGTTGGTTATTCAACTTCCACTGGACATGGTTTTATGTAAATGATGAAACTTTTTAAGAACACAATTTTCAATATCTAAACTCAGAGATCATGAAAACTACCATATGTCTTCCAATTTCATATTCCCCTGAAAGCATATAGAGACTACAACATGAAAATAATCAATCTGTCAAAATCAAAAGAGCTGAACTTTCTCAATCTGGAAACTAGATTTCAATAACACGAGACATAAAAATCCACTGAGGCTGCCAAAATCCTCAACTATTTAGTTGGAGACCTTCACAAACATGGTGGCGTTACATTATTTGGGATGAACTTTCAAAACTTTCATCAGGCCTGATCAAACTTAAATTCCTGAGCCAAAAAACTTTTACAACAATCAGTCAAATCGAATCAGCACAGAAGAATGATTGGTTTACTCCCATTACTCCACCCAGAAAGATTACATCTAGCTAGCAGACAACCAAGTAACGTTAATCAATTAGTAAAAATTCATCAGTATAGAAGAAGAAACAGACCATGGAAAAGGGTTGATTTGTTTGTACCTCAATGACCATATTCCAATCCAGAATGAAGCCCTCAGGTGGAGAAGAAGAAAAAATGGAAGATACAATGATGATCACAGAATCATCACCAAAAAGGCAAAAAGTTCTCCTAGAAAAGGTCCTTGGAAAGACAACTACGTAATCTTTAAATAAAGATGGGAGTTCCCGGATAAATTCTTTCATAAACAAATTACTACTATTTCTTTTTTGAGTTGATTGGTTTTTCTAAGGTCCCACTTTGAGACCATCAATAGAACTATTCCCCTGTTCAATTCCACCTCTAATTTCTCTTGTTTGCTTTTCAAGCTGATGTAACAAAGAAGGACCCTTTACTTTTTTTCTTAAGTTTTCAAGTTATCATCATGTAGAAGATGAAACAGCGGTTGAAGGGTTTGAATTGAAGTAGTTTGCACATTGCCCAGGTCATTGGTAAGGTGTTGTGTCTCTTCAGACATTAATCAATGTCTGATTAGAAGACTGAAGAACCCTTTCGAGCTGTAATATATAGAGTTAAAGCAATGGATTCCATGCACTTTAAGCCTTTAATGTGGAACAATGGTTGTTGGAAAATCAAATCAATTTTTGTTTGGAGATGAATGTACAGGTTTTAGCCATAAATGTAACGCAAAAATAACCATAAAAAGTATTTTTCCGAATCTACAAGGAGTGGCATTTTATAATTGTTGTTGGGCCGATTTTTCATGATATCGGGCTAATTAGTGGTCTTTTATCTGATTTTCATCACTAAAAACCATGTAATTGCTCCATATCAAGCAAGGCCTCGGTCCATAGCAGAGAAGGATCAACCCACAAGACGAACTTTGATTCATCCGTATGTGCAACAAAATTATTTCCCCAGTATTAAGAAAAAATTATTATCTTTGTCCCTAAACAATATACCACATTGAGTGTTATGATTTATACTACTATTATTATTAGTTGATCTAATTTTTGGGACAAAGGAAAATATTTAATATCACAAAATATATTTTTTAAAAAAATGAAATTAAATCGAGTATAACAAATGAAAGACTCTCTCTTAAAAATTAAAATAAAATCAAAGACAATAATTAAAAAAATGAAAAGTGAAAAACCAAATGAAATTACTAAGATCACTGACAAGACCCTAGATGGTGTTTAAACCTTAATATATAGAGGCAAGATGGTTGTAAGAACCATCCAATGTCACTAAAAATATGAAAAACTGACACTCATGGTTATAACGCTAAAATGATGACCACCCTATTAATAAAAACTTCACCAAAATCAAAGATTTAAAAGGACCCATTAGGTTAAGACAAATTAAAGACATAACACTACGACTATGAGTAGAAACTTTGCTAGATTAATCATCCTTTGACAAGTCTTGTTCTTCATTTGGTAAAGGGTAGATCTTCTTGTTCTTCAATAGACAAAGTTTCACCAGCTTCTTCACCACTTCATCAAGCTCTTCATTCTCTCCTTTGGAGCCAATCTTCTCACTCAATTCTCTTGCCTTGTTTCTAACCTTTTCTCCATCAATTCCCTTCACCACTTGGTTAATTACTTTTGCTATTGTATCCTTATGAAGGTTAGCACTTGAATCTCTCAAAACCTCAATTCCAATTCCAATTTCTTCAATTAAACGAGCGTTAATAGGTTGGTCGATCTGCATAGGCATGGCGATGATGGGGACGCCGAATTTCATACATTCCAAAACGGAATTCCAACCACAATGACTCACAAACCCTCCAATGTTAGGATGAGTTAAAATTTTCGCTTGTGGCGCCCAACCAGTGACAACTTTACCTCTACCTTCAAGGTTAGTGAAAAATCCTTCCGGCAAGATTTCTTCAAGGGAAATATTCTCTCCCTTAGGAAACCTAACCACCCATATAAAATAAACCTTAGACATTTCCAAACCATGAGCAATTTCCACCATATCTTTGGTGGACAAAAAGTACTCACTCCCAAAGGAAACAAATATAGTCGATCCTTTTTCCTTCTCGTTAAGCCATTCCATAACTTCACAATCTTGATCATCATCATTAAAGACAGGATCTTGAACCAAATGACCAACGGGTACAATTTGTTTCCCAACTAAAGTGGACAAATAATCACCATACTTACCCTCAATCTCCTTAAAACTCTTCACTAAGACAATATCATTAGATCTTTGCATGCATTGCATGACACGCCTTGTATCTTTGTCGTGCACAAGCAATCTTTTAGCGAAATCCGATTCATAATCTCGACAAAAGATAGTAGATTCAAAAGGGAACTTGGTACCTGGAGAAACAAGAGAGTGATAGCCAAGTGCAGTCATCGCAATTCCATTAGTAATATATTCAACCGCGGGGATGTTGTAAAAAGCTGCAGAAATTGGCGCCCATGGTTGAAGAAGATCATATATAACCAGGTCAGGCTTCAAATTTTTCAAAATCCTGCAAAAATTTGGACAACCCTTTTCGAAGGCATCTTTGAGGGTGGACATCAGATTGGCTGGGAGTCCATTGGTGGTGTGGTAATGAGGAGGAAGTTCATCGCTTTCAGGAAGATGAAGTTCAACTAGTTTGATTGATTGGGAGAAACTTTCATCCAGTTTTGATCTGACTGAAGCCAAATTTGCATGGGTAGAACACAAGTATATGATGAAGTTTCTAGCGATGAGTTTTTTGGCTAACTCAAGGTAAGGGGAAACATGTCCATGAGCCAGCCATGGAAGCATGAGAACAGTGAAGCTTTTTGCTTGGTTCTCCATAAGAATAATAATAAGCAAGAAATTTGCAAGTACTCAGAGAAATTAATTCGACGGAGTGATTAAAATCTTGGGTAACGGTGAGATGTGTGGATCAAGGCGGGGGTGATGATCATATTTATGGAGTTTTGGGTACGAATCTTAGTTGTGTAAGATTCCAAATATGGTAAGATTCCAATTGATTTGTCTCCGAATATTGGTAATTACGACAACTTTGCAGAACTAAATTTCCAATTTCATGCACCTCAATATATTTATTTATTGAGTGAATTCAGGAATGCAAATCTTAGTTTTCCTTTTCCGAGGTTTTAGATGTGTAACCATAAGTGTTAACGATCTTATTCACACTTCTAAAAATTGCACATTGTACTTATTTATTGCGGAATTTTTCCATATAAATGTCTTTTTTTTTTAATATAACATATTTAAAGAAGAAAATAGACTGACTAAGATTAAGACTCGTACCCAAATCTTACTAGAAATCTTCGGGATTACTAATTAGTGATTCAGATTTCAATTTCTTTCTTCGCTTTTTTTATTAGGTTAAACAATTCCTTTGGTGATTATTACAATACTTTATTTGTTGATTTTTCCACAGTACCGGTTACCGACATTACACCGCTGAATTTAATTAGGAATTTCTATTAGAGTATATTTCCTTAATAAAAGAAAAGATATTTTAGTGCATTTCTCTAGTTATTATTGGCTTGATCCTTCATAAAATCCGCCAATTACTGTGATACATGGTGGGCCTTGACAATGAGAAACCCATATGTCTAAATAGTACGCTACAGGTTGAATACAGATGAGGCATGGATGGTTTGGTAGTTGGGTGTAGATCCAAGTTAAAGCCTAATATCTAATTGTATTTGGACGTTGGGTTTCAAACTAGGGCCTTTGGCAGAAACACTCAAACCCCTGGTGGTGTCAGTTCTCTCTGACACAATTCACAAACACCATTTAGTAATGAAAAGGTCTCAATGGACCACCCTGGGAATGGGTTCGCCTGAACACGGACGGAGGTGTAGCTTCGAATCCGGCAATAACATCGGCCGGCAGTCTGCTGAGCAACGATGAAGGGAAATGGATCGCCGATTTTGTGTCCAAATTAGGAGACTGTTCTGTACTAGAAGTAGAGCTTTGGACTGTTTTTCTTGGGCTATCATTGGCTTGGGAGTTGGGCTTTCAAAAGCTACAACTACAAATGCAGAGTTTACAGGCTGTTAGACTACTTATTGGAGAAAGCCTAACAAATGCTTCAAGCTCCTAAACCGTCAATGAACTGTACAAAGCCTACATATAAAACGTTCCGAATGGAATCAGCCGATCACTCGCCAAGCTAGGTTTTGACTATGCTTCGGGCTACACGTTTTGTCAATACCCCGGTACAATTTTAGATAAATTAATACTCCCTCCGTCCCATAATTATTGTCCACTTTGCCCAAAAAATTTTGTCCCAAAATTATTGTCCAATTTGACTTTTTATGGATCAAGTTACACATTTGTCCTTAGTAAAAAACATTATCCATAAAATCTTAGTGGTTAAACAATTACTTATGTAGGGGTATATCCGGTTGTTTAAGGTAAAATATAATTAAGTTTGACAAAAAATAAAATCTTCCATTTTAGTAAAACTGGACAATAATTATGGAACGGATGGAGTATTAGACTGTCCTAGTTCAACTCACTCTCAATGAATTGTTTTTGTAACTTGAATTTCTACTTTCCTAGTATATTTATAATAATTGAAAAAAAGGTCTCAATGGCGATGTCAAATGAGTCAATTCGCCTCTTAGTTTATTTTGGGTATATAACTAATAGATTGCCCCCAATGAACTATGACCCAAACACGTGATAACAAACTCCTCCTTCAGGCAATACAGAATTTACAATTTAGTCTACAATGTGAACTATTGCATTACACTCATCTAACCCTCCTCCCATAAGACTCCACTTTTGTTATTCAGTTTTGCACTCGTTCAGCCCTCAAAAAAGAAGATAATTTTGTTGAATTGAATAACATAACAAGATAAGTTATTTTTTGATAAAGTAACTGCTAGCTAATTTGTAACACATTAGCATGAACTACAAATATGAATATAGATATATGATACTATTCTTGAGGATGGCTTTTAAAAATACTCCTTTTGTCCCAAAATTATTATCGAATTTGAAATTTCACTTTTAATACAATTTAAACTAATAAGGAAAACTTAAATTGGATAATAATTATGGGACGAAAGAATTACCAAGTGGCATATAAATTAAATCGAAAGTGTTTATGTCGTAAGTTAAAATAAATCACAATTTCTTTAATCAGTCTGGAAACAAAACATTTATGATCTCGACGAGAACTTACGAATTCGAATGAAATACATCTTATTCGGATAAAATACTAAAATCATGTCACAGTTCAATTACCAATCTATTTCCCGTAGTGGGAGGTTTTTTTTTCAGCCTGGATCCAACCTTCTTTTGTCTCAATCTTCTAGCTTATGCAGGCAGGCAGACACAGTGACAATGACTATGGAATATCGATCAGCCTGGCCCCATATATATAATAAACCCTCAAGCTTAATTATGATCGATTAATACTGATGAGTTGCCCCTTCTTCAACGTGTGTACGTGGTTTCACATGTAATGTGATAATTTTTATTATATCGATTAAGACTGCAAAAAGTGAAATTCTGATGAAAATTCTATTAGCTCCTTGAAACAACTTGTGTGTGTGTTCCATTACCCAAAATAAAATTAACACAGCTTATTGCCGAGTAACATCAAAAGTTGCTCTCACTTAACAAGCTCGCTCACGTGGTTGATCTCAGCCTTTCAGTGAAACTGGTCAGGAAGGCAAACTCCCCAAGAACAAGTTGCACCTCAATTTGATAGTGAATCCAGATCATGATGCGATCTAATTAACTTGACTAGTGATAATTGTTAGGAATTCCGACCTACGAGATAAGATCCAGAGAATTCTGATATCGGACCCAAAAAGAGTTTACTATTTTCGTACAATAAATAATATAATCATTTTAAGTATAATCATTTTAGAACAGGTAACAATTAGTGATATATGGTAGAAAATCAAAATGTGGAAGTTAATGAGGTACAACGAAGGTGATGGTAAGTAACATTAAAAATGGGAGGGGCAAGTAGCATTATATATCTCACCCACACCACATGCCCACAATTACAAAAAGTGCTTCAAAATCAATAAATCAATGCCTATCCACTGCCGTGCGCTTTCTGTAATGTAATAACATTGGCATGCAATTGGCCTCCATTCATCCTTCTTCCACAAAAAAAAAAGCACACTATCTATCCACTCCAGAAGGACAATCTTCGAAACTTTCAACTAACTAGGCTCGGTTTGGTTCATTATTTTGATGCTTTTTTCATATTTTCTTATATTACATATGTTTACATTTTTAACAAAAAAAAACCTAAAAATACGTATTAAAAATAAATTGCTCTTGATTCTGAAGCTCATAATTTTACAAAATTCATAATTATACTGAAAATGAAAATCTAAACACATCAATTATTTAAGACAGAACGAGTATTTTATTTTTATTTTTTTTTGTATTTTATATACTTGGTAACCCTTGCTACTTGCACCAAAAGTTATCAAGTTAATATCCATTGATTGGTTATCTATATTTGGATTGAGATTTTTTTGTTGTGAAGTTTTCCGTGTTTGGTTGGAATTTGCGGGTTGTGGTTGAAGGTTTTAAAAGCATTTGAGTTAATGCTAATGGGGTTTTATTGAGTTTATTTATCACCCATTATTTTTGTGGAAAGAATTAGGTGATAAACGTAAAGAGTACGCTCACCTTTTGTAGAAGAAGTACTTGCACTAACGTTGATGGCAGCATGATCATGTTTGTGGCAATTATAATATAATATAGGGATCCTAGGTGTACCTAGTGTGAGTCTCATGCAACCCAAAAATGTACATATCTCAATATTTACAGTAATCCCATTTAATTCCCCATTTTGTGGAATTTTTGGAATGTCAAATTCCACCATTTCCTCCTAATTTTCAGTCATTAACCGTATCCATCTTCCACTCCATTCATCACAATCCGTCTCAAACAAAAAAAAAATTAAAAAACTAAATTTTCTCTACAGCGATGGCTAGAAAACCTCTCGTCGGCTGGATTTTTTGGGACGGAATCAGATTGTGCATCAAATCCAGTGGAAATTGTAGAAATATACTCTGTTCAAGATACGATTTAAGGTAATACATGAACAAACTTCATCCACGCAGAAACCACCGATTGAGGATCTGAACCGAACAGAAGCAGTTCGGAAAGTGAAGATGATCGAAGGTAATACTATTAATCTTTTAGACTATTGATGCGTTTTTTGATGGGTTTTGTAAATTTACTGTATATGCATTCGATTATGCATATCTGTTCATCAAGTTTAAAGTTTTCTTCATATTCAACCATTGGTGTTTTTTGTTGTTTGAGTTCTGTAGATGTAAGGTATATTCACTCGATTGACGATGTTTGTCATCAATTTTAGAGTTTTGTTCTTCTATCGGATGTTGTTTTTCTGGAAAATTGGTAGATTTTTGTATTATTCATTAGGTTGGTATAGTTATTCATTGTTGAAACTGTCAGATTCATCGTTTACCATAACTATGTAGTATTATTTTTTTGGTAAATTAGTAGATATTTGTATTATTCATCAGTATGGTATAATTATTTATTGCTGAAATTGTCAGATTCATCGTTTACCATAACTATATAGTATTGTTTTTTTGGTAAATTACTAGATCTTTGTATTATTCATCAGTTTGGTATAATTATTCATCGTTGAAATTGTCGGATTCATCGTTTACTATAACTATGTAGTATTTTTTTTTGGTAAATTACTAGATGTTATTTATCAATTTGGTATAATTATTTACTGTTTAAATTGTCGGATTCATCGTTTATCACAATTATGTATTATTTTTCGTTAAATTTGTTCATTAATTTGGTAATTGGTATTCATCATAATTTGTTGTAAAATTTGTTTTGGGTCCGTAAAGGGATGTTATTCATTGAGTCATCAATTATTATTAATTTT